AAGCAGCTCCCAGTTTCCAGCTAAGCCTGGGGGCCTTTGTTGAGACAGATCAAAGCTCAGGCTCCTTCTGTGGCTGTGTTTACCAGATGTGGGGTTTCTGAGTCCCTTGAAGCCAAGAGGTACAAGGAGACTCCTTCAGCACTTTGACAGGTTGCTGTCAAAGGTGGCCTTGAGGTTCTGCGCTGACCCGGCTGCCTCTGGTGGAAGCAGCATGGAGACACAAAAGGCTCTCCTGGGATGTCACCAACGGAGCCTCCTGGATGCTCATCACTGGGACCTGAGATCTGGAGTCTCTGGGTGATATCAGACCAACCAGGGTGCCCAGCCATTTGGTATCTCACTCTCTTCCAACCTTTTAACTCTGAGTCAGACATAGCAGGAATCTTAGAGAGTCTTATTAATAAAATCAAACCTGAGGCCAGTTATTGGGGTGAATACTGGAAAATCGGAGAGACAGAACAAGCCACAGCTACCCTCACCTCGCCAGATCCTCAGCTGATCCTGTTTCCTCAGACTGGAAACCTCTGAGTCCTCACCCAGAATGAATCTCAGCTGAACTGCTGCTTGAAAGCCTGAAGCTTAACCAGCTAAATGTTTCTAGTTTCTGGTCCTCACACCTTATATACCTTTCTGCTTTCTACCACCACTCCCTGGGATTAAAGGCTGGCTTTCTGGGATTAAAGGCGTATGTCACCATGCCTGGCTGTTTCCAATGTGGCCTTGAACTCACACAGATCCAGATGGATTTCTGTCTCTGGAATGCTAGGATGAGTGCCACCATTTTCTAGCCTCTGTATCTACTGTGTGGAATGTATGTTGGGGGACTAGGAGCCCTGCAGGTGGACAGAAAAGGGGACATGTTCGAAAGCTTCCCACTGGAGTTTGGTCAAGGTGCACTGGACATTTGCTCCCTGGTACGCAGCAAACTCGAGAAAGGAGCTGTCACATGTTTGGTGCCATTGAATTGCTAGGTTCAGAAGGTGTGTAAGCTGGGGTTTAAGTGTGTTCGGAGAACACGGCTCCAAGGAGTTCCTTCTTGATCAAAGGGTTGGGTGGTCAGGAGCATTTGGAAAGAGTCAACCCTTTACCCATCTCCTGGAGGTTCCTGTGACATGAAATCCCTTAGTAGATTTACCTATTTGCCATTGGCCAACCCACTACCTCCCTTTCTTGTTGTCACCAGAGAAAAAGACTTCACGTCATCAGCATCACCCCTGCCCCGCCACTGTGGAGTCACCAGGATGAACGTGCTCTGCGTGCAGTTGCTAGGGACCTTGGTGGATCCTCTTTAGCTTAGGGCTGTTTGTGATGGTATAGACCTGGCTTTAATCACCCATGGCCAGGTAACTTTATCCCTCCAGCATAGGGGATGAGAAAAGGCAAGCCAAGGACATGCTGGTGTGATGGCTTTACCCACAAGGGAAGAATTTTGATGGCATCCAGGGCTCCAGGTGGGAAGAAGATTCCAAGGATGCAGCAGGCCAGGAGGGCTGGATAGAGCAGAGACAGGGTCTCCGAGCAGGAGAAACTCACAGCTAGCAATAGCTCTCCTGAGAATAAGCAACGTGGCCACAGCCACTAGCAGATGTCCACTGATGTCTGCTCAATGCTTTGTCTGATGCCTACGAGGGAAAAGCCCAGATGGGCATGGTGCCACTCAAGGATATTGGCTTCCAAAGACAGCCCTGGCTTTTCAAAAGCTTGTGAACCCTCTCACACCCCTCCTCTTCTCTACCGCATCACACCTTCCTCACTTGGTGATTTTAACTTTCCTTTCCATACGTTCAGATGTTCTGCTCCTATGTATGTCTGCGCAGCGCCTGTGTGCAGTGCCTAGGGAGGCCAGAAGAGGGCGTCCCTGCGCCTGACATTACAGATGGCGGTGAGCTGTCAGGTGGGTGCTGGGAATCCAGCCCAGGTCCTCTGGAAGAACAGCCAATGCTATTAGCTACTAAGCCATCTCTCCAGGCCACCTTAGTCGTTTCTTAAATCAAAAGGAGAGTTCCCAGGATCTAGACAACCCCAGAGAGCAAAGAGGAACCCTGCCAACTGGAGGACAGGTCCCTCCAGCCAAGGATCCACCGAGCCCGCTGGCTTTGGGGCTGCCTCTGTGGCTGAATGGGGCCCCCGGCATTTTATTATTTTGCTTTTGCTTCTGGCACTTCTTAAAACAAACCTCAAAGATGAAAAAAAAACTCCTGTCTGAAATGCATTCCTTTTAGAATCCAAGAAATGACTCACAGAGGCTGGGCTGGCATTTATGGTCCCCGTGAAGATGATTAGCTGCAGAAATCCTATTTTTGAAATGTAGACTTTGTACCCTACATATTCTTCTAGAACAAAATAGAAGAAAAATAACCCTACAGGGGAGCGGGGGAAGAATGATACCCCTGTTTACATATTTAGTATTATTTAAATACACGCTATCTACCGCTTACTTTATATTTCACTGTCTATTTTTAACACAGGATTAAAGAGATTGAAAAGAATTATTCAGTCAAGTCACTCACTATGTTCTTTAGAAAACATCTCATCTGTGTGTGAGCTAGAATATAAGAAGTTTGGTTTTCACCCAAATGTCCAATGAGTGATGAGTGAATAAGCAAATGTGGAATAGTCTTCAACCTTAAAGAGGAATAAAATTCTGATCCTTGGCACATGTACAGGCAAACCTTGAGAAAGTTAGAAATGAAATAAGCCAGTCACGAAGTGGCAGAGGCTGAGGGTACCACCTCTGTCATCTGATTGGCAGAGACGGAGTGGAATAGGGTGTCAAGGCTGGGGCAGGGGCCTCTTAGCTAATGAGCAGACTGGGTGTGGGGTGATGGAAGTTCTGGAACAGTATGTTAGAGATGGTGGTGCCTCGATGGAACGTGCTTGATGTCTTTGGAATGAACCCCTAAAAATGGTTGCAATGGGAATTTTACAATATGCAGATTCTACCACAACAAACATTGTTTTCCCTGGGAACAGACATTGAGAAATATCGGTGGCCTGAGGCTTCTTTCTGCTTCTTTTTCATCTCAGCAATGCCATTCCCTGCACCCCCCAACCCCCAACCCCCAACCCCCCACACCTCCCCGATGACCAAGTGACTCACTCTTCAAAGCCAACCATTGGTCAGGCCTGCCCCACTTCATCACAGACTAGTCCAGGACCAAAGGGGCAAAGTGGCTTTCTGATGGCCATGCAATGGACAGCCAGCAGGGGACAGGTGCCATTGTCCTCCCTGGGGGC